ATATATATATATATATATAATATAATTATATATATTATATATTTTAATTATATTATAATTATGTTATAATTATATATAATTATATATATTATATATATATTATATATATCTATATATTAATTAAAGCGATATCGTTTATCTGATCATATTTGCTTAATTTATTGATAATCTGTCCGCTTGTCATTTTGTAACAGATTAGAAGATTCCCTTTATGTAACGACTGCCGATAAATTTAACAATCATCGTTATCAAGATATTTTATCTCGTTGCACGTTGTTTTGAAATGAACTTACAATTAAGCTGTGCGTATATAGAGCTCGAGAGAGTTCATCGGGAACAAGTTTATCTCAAACGTTCGCGTCGCAATATTTTTTTTTCGAATTACACTCATCCGAGTTAAAGGGACACACAAGACAGCGTAAATAATGGACAAATATTCACAGATATCATGGCAACGGCCAAACACCGCACGCTCGAGGATGCATCGCGTTGCATCGCGTATTTGCAAATAAAACGATCGACATGCTACTTCCGTCGTCAAAACACGTTCTTACGTGCCACTTTCTTAACGCGTATGAATTATGTATAACGTGTTTCATTCACAAACACAGGCTGCTTATTATTTCAAAGGAGAAATTTCGGTGAAATATGCAACTTGCGACAAGCACTGACTGTGTCTTTTTCTTTTGGAAGAAATTATATATATATATATATATAGCACGTTTACGTACAAATTTTAGTTCCCTCTGCAGAATGTTTGATTAATGTCTCGACATATCTATTCTTTCTCTAACTTTCCATTTCTCTTTCAAAGATCCCCTCTCCCCGTGACTCTTGCACTTTACCATGTACAGCGTACATCAGTACCATTTTAATTACAAAAGTAGATTATCTTGAACAGGCAGTTTGACGCGAGATGAGGATATTCCGATCAAATGAGCATGGAACCTGATCTCATAAATCTTCACCATCTCGACAATATACCGTCCCCAGTATTTAAGTCTACTCGACAAGCTTGCAAATCGAATTCTAATTGTAAATTTCCTAATAAGCTCTCAATTTTTCTTATCGCCGTGGTAAAATGGTAAAAATGGTAAAAATGGTAAAAATAGTAAATGGTAAAAATGGTAAATGGTAAAAATGGTAAAAATGGTAAATGGTAAAAATGGTAAAAATCCTGGTAAAATGGCCTTGCGCGACTGTCTGTCTCTTCTGTTCTGATCAGATCGAATTTCCTTCGTAACAGTCCACCGTACGACCGACGTACAACGTTAAACGTTAACGTTAAAAACGGGAAAGGGTGAGTTTTAACCCTTTCGGTACGACGGATAACCCTCGTACCGAAAGGGTTAAAGGCTGGCAGGATCATTTGACGGAAAAGGACCACTTACGTTTTCTCTAGCGGTAAATTCTTAATTACCGTGTCGCAGGTGTTCTTCGTGTACTTGTTGTAGCCGAGGAAGCCAAAGGCGATGTACATGCAGGTATTGAGCAGCATGCTGCACGTTATCAGCCGCGGCAGGTGTTGCGGCTTCCTCATCGAGTTCTCCAGCGGCAGGCACAAGGTCACGCTATGAAGAGCGTAGAGGAACAGGCTGCAGTACATCGGCACCGGCAACACGTACGTGAACGCTTCTAGTCTCGCGGGATCGGGTATGTCCTCGAGCAGATAGTACAAAGTGACGAAAATGCCAACGAACATGAGGAGTGCACCGATCACGGAGAATGGCGCCAGCCATCGCAAGTTCCGGACGAGACCCAACAGACAGACGAACGGTGACAACGCCAGTATGTAGATCCGCGTGTCCATTCTCATGCCGAAAGAAAATTCAATCACCTGGAAATTCAAGAGTATCATGCTGTGTCGACAGATGAATGACCAGAGCTGCGTCACAGAAGATAAATCGCTTTCGATAGTTTCGGATAGCCGATCGGATTAATTTCAATAATTTGATAAATTAAAGATAAGCTGATAAGGACTCTTGAACTGTATGTCTTTGTAGCGTAATTGTCGAGCGAAAATTTAGCAACGAATTCAACAACACACACACACACACA